TATATATATGTATATATATGTATGTATGCACTCGCTTGCTACCCAGCGGTTTCCTCGGTGTTGTGTAATATCTGGATGCCCAACTCTAAGTATTGTTATATTAAATGAATACTCGCGAGGTTTTCTGCGTATTTTAGATGCGAGAATATTGAGAGAAATCAACAATTAATATTATATTTATTTTTAAATATTTTATCTAATGATTCTCAAAAGAAATTTAACAAGTATGTCTCATTTACCGGTGCAATTATTACCTTATCTTGTTAATCCATTCTCTATGTTTTTATTAATAATGTAATACTGTCATCAATTTTAGGATGTATTGTTCAAATCCTTGTACCAAAATCAATTCAGTCAGCATCTAGACATGATGAACAGTGTCCAACGCAATACCATTTCTTCTCCTTACAGCTGTTCAAAATAATCAAGCCCGCGCCGTTTCTCTCGTAGATATTATTAATAAGTATAACTCGTTCTCGGAAACTGAAATTCCACTCGCGATTGGCGTTAATTACATTTAATGTTAGTCGACAACGACGAGAACGAATCTATCTTAGATAGATATTTTTGCGAAACGCTTCCCTAAATCACCGAAGAATCAAACGAACGACAATGGTGCAACATTACTCGCGATTTTGTTTAAGCGGGCGAAAATATTTCATTGTATTGAACATAGATATTTCAATTTATAAATTTAATTCGCCAGAATCGAAGTCAGAGCACATTTTAATGCGTAAACTGGCCGGCACACATATGACTTACAATTAGTAAAAATTCTTGTCGCTCAAAAAAACGTAAGTTTAAGCTACAATTATAGATTTTTTTAATTATATAGGATAAAAATGTGGATAAGCAGAGGGCCAGAGTGTCTAAGTAATATAGATGCTTAAAATTCACAATCTCTAATATTCTATTTAAACAAGGGAAATGTGGAAGAAAACATGGATGGTGCTCGTAATACTTAATCGTAATATATGAATAGTTGACATAATTGAAGTGAGAATACATACGTCTCGTATTTTGTCGTCCAAAAAATTCTTTAAGATATGCTCTGATAATGTGAAAAGAAAATCGCGAGGAGTGCTTTTGCCGAATTATAATTGTACAGTATTGTGTATAAGCGCTCGATAGTATTTAGCGATCATACTTCCGAGCATTATTGTTAAAATAGGTATGTATAAAAGTTTTCAATCTTGGCTTGCCTCCAAAGTATGACAAGTCTGAGTGTACATTAATTGAAATCGCGACAGAACGAATACATTACGAATGAGTGGCAGGATGCATTCCCACAGATCTGTGTGTATGTGTGTGCGCGCGCGCGTGTGTGTGTGTGTGTGTGCGTGTGTCGCGATCGTAAATAAAATTCCACCTTTGAATAAAGATGCAACTTCAAGCTCGACTCGTACTAAGTACATCTTTGCGCTTTTCAACTTGATTCGAAGTTAAAAGTACAGTCTTATACAAATTAATGTACAAGTATGAACAAGAGATAATTTTTAGATTTATATACATTTATTACATAAAAATAATTTACATGGTGTTTATTACTGTATTTTTTCATTAATTAATATGCCCCCCAAAAATATTGTAATAAACATCATTTTTATATAATAAAATGTATATAAATTAATGTATATAAATTAAAAAATTACTTCTTATCCGTACACATTAATTTGGACAAGGCTGTACTCTTTGAGAAATTTCTCAAGTGCAAAAATTTTCTCGCCGCCTTACGAAGATTTGCTTATACGCAACTTTTCTCATACGGAGTTTTTTAATAAAAAAAATAAATAAGAGGCATCCAACACGAGCAACAGAATTGAATAGAAAGGTCGCAACATTCCCCTTAACAACGTGTGCGTGTGTGTGCATTACAGATTTATTTTCACGAATTACGCTTACTGTAAAATAGATAATAATTATAAACGAGAGATAATTATAATAAATATAATATGAAGGAGAGAAACACGACGTCACAGTAAAATATTGCGATCTAAGCTTATATCGTGGATGCAATGTTAGAATCAAAAAATGATTTCACAAATTACCTCTGTCTAAAGACAAAATTATATGATATCTGGAAATGTAACTTTAGCCTTGCCATTCAATTCTGCGTCTTATAGACGAACGTAAGCCTTTGAATTTACGTAGTAGTAGGATAACACATCCAGTACATACTATAATAATACTACATAATATGGCGGATGTTTAATTTACAGAGCAACGACTGATCGGAATCTGCGTTCGCATATTAAATGAATAAGAATTGAAAAGTGACACTTTTCGTTTGTAATGTCTACTTCGAAATGTCGAATACAAGTGCACATGCATTCATTTCGTTTTTACGTCAACTTACGAGCCACTAGGTGCTCGTTTAGAAGTAAACATAGTTCTAGACTAATTATAATGTATTAGGCAGATTGTGATAAACGGCGACAATAGCTTTCTCTTCGTCAGAAATGGCAAGACTTTATTCCATTTAATTTTCAAGTATACACAAATTAATATAAAATAAATTTTTTCTCTTAAAGAAATTATAATAAATAAGAATACAAGATATATATA